CCCTTCCCCTGAGAGCCCAGAGTCAGTTCTTGTTGGGAGGACACACTGGCTTTTGGCAAACACCAGTCCAGGGTAAAAGCGGGTTGCCGAGCGCGGCCGAAGGGACCTCGGGTCAGGCACCGAGCTGGACACCTGGAGGGAAGCGGCGCGTGAGCACTGGGCCTGGGAAGCCGCCTAGGACCACAGGCTTCGGGGCGGCGCGGCGCGGCCAGCGCCCTCTGCCGGACGGTGGCGGCAGCGCGGAGGGGCTGGAGGAATTTTTGCCCCTGGCAAAGGGTTCCCCCAGAATGGCTAAGTTTTTGAGTGCTAGACTGCTAATTAAAACAATAGTCATAAACCTATCTCGTCAGTTAGCTGGAGGAAAAACTTAATTTTGGCTGCTACTCGGTGTCGTCCACCATATGGGGATACACGCATTCTCACGCCCTTATGATGCGGATATAAAATAACGCAAATTTACGTAATGGCATTTTGGCATTTCTTTATTTAAAAAGAGAAAACATTTAAAAGTACAAACCCTGCCCAGCCAGCGTGGCACAGTGGTTGAGCATCGACCTATGAACTGTGAGGTCACCGATGGATTCCCGGTCTGGGCACCTACCCAAGTTGCAGGCTCATCCCCAGGCGGGAGCACGCAGGTGCAGAGGGCAGCAGATCCGATGTTTCTATCTCTCTCCCTTCCTCTCTCTAAAACTAATAAAAATATGTGTGTGTTTTTAAAAGTACCTCTCAGAGGGCAACTGTAAGGATAAAAGCCTATCTCATCCTTGGTTCTTGGTATAGTGGGAGAAAAATTATTTTTGGTAACTCAAAATAACATACTACTTGTACACATACAAATTTGGGGTCAAAATGTATACCACATGAGTGCACCCCAAATCCAAAGACACAGTGGTCCCAAGTTGGTAGAGTATCCTGGGAACCTGGCTAAACTCAATATAAACCCCCTCTAGGGAATGCACTTTAACTCCAGGCCTTAAATAATTCCTATAGCTATAGTTCCAAGAACCATGAGTGGTCAAAGTGACTAAGCACACTGAGAAAGAAGCTACCAAAATTATTCAAAACTGCAAAGATTACAGATACTGGGATTTTCAATTACTGTATGTAAAATGAATAGGTTTAATATTTTTAAAAACAAATTTTAATATAACAAAGGAACAAGCAATTATAAAAATTGACTAGGTAGATTGGCAAAATAACCAATTATAAAAAATAGTAATAAAAATATAGGAATTAAAATATAGTTATTAGATGGCACAAACAAAAGATTGGTCATAGCAATTAACCTAAAATAAATAGCCTTTCAAAATGAGAGGCAACAAGCATTATTTGAGATATATTTTTTAAAAAGCTATTGGGAAGCACTGATTCAGCAGAAGCCCAATAGTGTTCCAATTAAGAGACAAAGGCAAGGAGTATTAATGAGAAAGGGAAGGGGAACAATAAATCAATAGAAGGGAGGTATTTCTATTGGTTGACATATGCTTACATAGTGATATTAATTCTAAACAATGTTTTTAATTTTCAGTCTGGTAGACATCAGTCCAGTAGTCATAATATCTGCTTTCTTTGCGCACAGTTCTTTGGAAGGCAATGTTGCTTTAAGCCCAGTCCAAAGGTTATTTTGCAAAGCTTGGAGCATAAAATGTACAAGGCAGTTTCTCTGGGATTGCAGCTCCATTTTAAAGTGGCTCTGTGGGCAGCTTATCAACCTCATAAAATAGCTCTGTTTCTATTAATTTTTTGCATAGCTGAAGAAAGAATTAATGAATTGGAAAATAGATCTTAAGAAATGAAAGAGAAAAAAGAACAAAAATGCAGCATTAACAAGGAGGAGGAAAATGTGAAAGATAAAGTGAGAAGGTCCAACCTTCATCTGATTGCAAATCCATAAATAAAGAAGATAATAAAAGAGAGACTGAATTTAAAGAGAAATACAGATTCATATGTAGCCTCAGATTCAGGAAATCCAAGGGATTCCTACCTGAATAAACAAAGAAGTGCACGTCTGGATTAATAATAGTGAAGCTGTAGAAAAATAATAACAAAGATAAAACCTTAAAAGGAGCAAGAGAGAAAAGGCAGATTCCCTGCAAAGTAACTGTTATATTAGCATCTGACTTCTCAATAGCAACAGTAAAAGCCAGAGGACAAAGAAATATTCAGCAATATGAGAAAATAACTGTCAACCTATAATTCCTTAGCCAGCAAAATGATCCCTCAAAAATGAAGGTAAAGTAATAAATAAATAAATCTGAGGAAGTTTGCTATCATTAAGTTCTGTATTCATTTTTTATTGCTGCATAACAAATTACTACAAACTCAGTGGCTTAAAAGAACACATGTAGCTGCCCAGTATGGAGTGGTTGAGCATCCATCTATGAACCAGGAGGTCACAGTTGGATTCCTAGTCAAGGAATATGCCTGGGTTTCAGGCTCAATCTCCAGTGTGGGGCATGCAGGAGGCAGCTGACCAATGATTCTCTCTCATCATTGATGTTTCTATTTTTCTCTTCCTCTCCATTCCTCTCTGAAATTATATTCCCATATATATGCCATATATATATATATATATATATCATATATATATATATATCT